ACACTAGGTACTGCTTTTATTTTTTTCCCCCCTACAAGAATTTTTTTTTTTTTTTTTTTTTTTTTTGCAGAAAACTGGTTACAACCAGACACTTTTATATTACCACAACCATTTTTAGATGTTGGCAAATTTTCAGAATGTGTCATCAATGTGCATTGCAGTTCTTCAAGCAACCATGCACTTAACATTTCTTTAACTTAGCTGTGTTTATTTTTTGTATGCTTTCTTTTTATTGTTGCAATGATTTTTAGGGACAAATTCATATAAAAAATTCTTTACCATTTTGAATAGTTTTACCGCTTTTATTCTACTTTGATTCTGTTCTTAATGTAATAGTCAAGAAACTTTCACAAGTACAAAAGAAATAAAAAATGCTTGCAGTTAGGTTTACTGATTTTCAAGATAAATGTGTAATTAAAGTATGAAATATGTATGCAATAATATGTGTATATGTTGTACATAATTTTTTTTCAATTACATATATATTTTCCATTATTTTTTAATTATCAAAAATCATTAAACCATACCTAGATGGTTGTACTAATATTTGCCTTTTATTTACCTATGAACAAATCCATGATACCTTGCATAGTAAATTATTAGTCCTAACCAGCAATTACGTTGTGTGTGGGATAAGTACGTAAGCACTGAGGAATGTAACAAACAGCATTGTTGGTTATTTCTCAGTTTCATATTTAAACTTTTTCACCCAGATCCAAAAAATGATACAAGCTATGATTACCATGTGTAAGAGATTCACTAAATATTGATTCTGGGGTTTTTGTTATAACCTAATTTAAGTCTTCTATATCATTTAAGTAATCTCTAGACTCTCCCTCCACCACCACCACACTGTAATTTTAAGAGAGAGATTCCTAACTTAAGTTTGGAATTGTTTCAGAAATTTTTGTGTATACAACGTATAAATGGGATGGCGGCTCGTGGCTAAAATTAGTGTGGGGCTGTTCGAAAAAAATTTAACCTTTGTTTTAAAATTGTCTAAAAGGAAATAAACATGTATAGAAAGAAAATTTATTTTGAAACTTCATGAAATCTTACAAGAAAAAAATTAAACATTTCTTAATTACTTTAACCAAAATTGTTACAATTCAATCTTTGCCTATTCATTTAAAAATGAAATCCATTCTTATTGTTTTAATTTATACGAAAAGATCAATAATTTTCTCCTTGCTCTCTGGATGACAACTGAGAAAATTTTTCTTTATTGAAATCAATGCAAGCGCATTTAGTCTTTCCGAATTCCTAGTGCTTCTTAGAAAAGTTTTCATTCTTTTAAATGTTGAAAAGCAGCGTTCTGCCTCTGATGTAGTCATGGGAACTCTCAAGAGAATTTTTATCTGTTTCGTAATTTCACTAAGAACATCATCTAGATTATTTTCGAAGATAAATTTCAGTAGCTTGAAGTAAATAAATTTGCAGTATTCATGGATATCAGACCTACAATAGAATACTTTTAGTTCAGTTTCAAGCTTTTCTTTGTAAATCATTAAAAATGCTTCAGTGGTCAGTACTATTTCTTCTGTAGAATGGTCATTCCTAAAACTAGCGAAGCGCTTCTTGTTTAACAATTTAGCAGCTGCTAAGTGGTCAGTGGAAGAATACCTGTGCATTATATCAATACATAATATAAAGTCATATATTTCCTTAGCTTCTTCCATCAGTACCTTTGAAAAATTCTTACAGTACTTTGAGTTTCTTAATTCTAAAATAGCAGTTTTGAAATTTGTTATATATTCGTTAACTTTAAACAACACACTAATTTCTCTGGATTGCATTTAGTTGTATATTATTTCAACATGACGCATCTGATAAAAAAGCTCTAACCAAAACTTGAAATTATCATCATATAGTGTTTATTATTATTTTTATTATTCCTGTTGCTTTTCCAATAGTTTGGTCTGCATTTGATGTTGATTGAATTTCAGTAAGGCAATTTTTTTAAAGGTTGCAAATTTTCATGAATTCTGTTTATAGTCTGTATGATGAAGATCCACCTTGTGGAGAAATACCACACGCGCAGAGTAAAAAGAAATCACGTTTCCAACAACATGCCAGAATTTCGGCACTGCAAGAGCAACAGTGCTCTTCTCGCTACCCGGCTCACGTGCTGCTTTCTGTGCGCGCATGCGCAGAACGGCCAAGCACCACGTCGCTGGAACTGTGAAGCGCGCAGTTAAAGAATTTCGTATCTTTTTCACAAAGTAGGGGATGGCAACTGACATTAAGCTTAAGGATTATGTATTTGTAAAAGTATAAAGAAAGAATTAAAGACTATATTAAATATTAAAAATAATAATAAGGGGTGCTGCAGTTCCACAGTGCTTATTACGAGCTGCCACTGAATGAGAGCCACTGAAAAAGTTATTCTTCAGCATTATTTGTAAAGCTGGTAATTCTGTAAAAATTATCATAAGAGCTTTCATATTTTGTTTATGTTATTATTCATTTACACTGTAATATAGCTTTCTTAGTATTATACTTCCAAATTGATTTACTTTTTAGAGAATTTCTAACATATATTATGACTGTATGTAAAACAATATAAACAGCTGTCTGTGAAATAATGCAGAAACAAAACAGTTCGGAAATTAAGATTCTATTCATAAAAAAGAGCAATATATCAGATTATTTATGTAAGAAATACAAATTTTATCATTTTGATTTTGAATGCAGTGTTGACTTGAGATGTGGATTGGTGTCTCTCTTTGTTTGGTTGTTTGTGATGAGTGATGCCAAGTTGACATGTGTTCTTATTTGACTGTTTGTGACAGGTGATGCTAAATTTCATCTTTTAATAATTTATGCAATTACTTGGGAAAAAAATTGGGGTTATGTTATAAGGTGTGATAATAATGTTTATAATATATATACTTTCTGTAGTTATTCGATGAGGACTCATGGGATCCACTTAGATGGTTATAGTAATATGCAACAACATTATTTCCATTGTTTTTAAGCATACTATACCAAAAACATTACTAAGAAATGATTAAATATATTGATTAATTTTTATAAAGTATTGTATTTTTGAATTATTTTTATTATGACTTAAAAAGCTTTGTGGAAATTAAGACCATATGCTTTTTTACAATAACTGTCATCAGTGTGTTAATACAGCAGCTGTAGTTATGACAATAAATTTTGTAATATTGTATATATTGTGTGGTCTACTGCTTTTAGTTAGTTATTTCTCAGATGGTGCCATTAAAATGCTGCTTTTAAATATGAAAATGAATGCAAACAATTAAGAATACATAAATAAAAATCATTGTCTTAATTAATTTAATAACATATTAAATTTGAATTGTTCCAACATTGCAAAACAAAGGCAAGAGTGCCCTTTAAAAGAGAAATTTTCCTGAGTTTTTAACTATATACACTATAAATGTTGCGTACCATAATAAAAATATAGGTAAGACACATCATAAGGGTTAAGAATTGCATAGGATCCCATGCCTGGAAATCTCGGGGTAAGTGGTAGCAGAGGTATAGGATGGGAAAGGAAGCAAGAGAGTGAATAATTTGAAACATTTATTGGCCATGAATACAAATGATGTACGGCACCTTGAATGCTACAACAGATGCTCAAATTTTGCACCATCATATGGCAAACATGCCTGACACCAATGGACTATTGATTGCTGGACATGTTCAAACACACCGAGAGTTTCTTTGATTGTATCAGCTGCGCAGGCGAGTCTTCCCACGAGATCCTTTCCAGACACAAAAAGAAATCAAAGCTTGATAAATCCAGTGAGTGTGGGGGCCAGGGAACTGGTCCACTATGCCCAATCCATCGATGCGGGAATGATCTGTTCAAATGGCTGCGAACATCCAGTCCAAAATGAGCAGTCACCCCATCATGTTGGAACCACATGTTGTGCTTCACATTTGGTGGAACATCATCACGCAAGCTGGGAAGAACCTGCTCCAGCTTGAGAAAGATCAGATAATCTGTGGCATTCAACCAGGATGGTAAAAGATATGGCTCGACTAAGTAGTCACCGACCAAACCCACATACACATTAACTTTGAAGCACTATTGTGCCACGTGGTGCCGCACACCGTGGAGTTTTTTTGGTGAGCCCACAAAATGCTGATTGTGGTGATTGAATACACGCGATATTGAGTGTGGCTTCATCCGTGAACATTGCATAAGCTGGAAAATTAACATCATGGGCTCTTTCTTGCAGAAACTACTGTGCAAAATGCACATGTTCAGAATGATCATTGGGGAAGCAGTAACTGAACCTTTTGGAGATGAAAGGTGTGGAAGGAATCAATGTTCAAGACACACTGGATACTGGTACGAGACATTCTTAATTGAGAGGCAGTGGCACGTATGTTGGTCCTTAGATTACTCTCTACCATATCCAACACATCTTCCCTAACGACCGAGTCGATTGTGGCCTGCTATCACTTGTCCTGCCACTTCTTAATGACCCGTAGTGGCACAAATTTTGATGCAGACGTGCAAACAAACTGTGGTGTGGTTGATGTCTGAGGGGGGAGTGTTCTCAATAAATGCGAGAAGCAGCTAGTCCATTACCTTTAGCTATTCCACACACTAAGTGCATGTCTATAAGCTGTCCATTCATATAGCATTCCATGCTCTTCATATAGTGCCTATGGTTCGAATGAGACAATCCTCACTTTCCACTAGCACTCTCCTATACAGCACCCCCTCGCAGTGTACAGTTATGTTTCTGGGCATAGGTTCCTATGCAATTCTTAAGCCTTATGATGTGCCCTACCTCCCTCAGAAGTTCATCGCAACATTTACAGGACACCCTATATAGAAGTTAAATTTAATGGCACTTATCTTTATATTTGAGACATTAATTATTAAACACTGATGATAAAAAGATATGAATGAAAAATATTAAAAAAAACTTCATGTAATGAATATTATATAGTATTTTATAATATTTATCAACATTATGTGTTATTTTTTAATATTAAATGACTTTTTCTTAAAGTGCCTGAAGAAAATGTGGCATCACCAAAACATGGTGCTCAGGTTTTACATGGTGAGTTGCGATCTGCTCTCCTTGATGGTGATGTGCATACATATGACATGGAAAGAGGTTTCACAAGGCATCCTATTGATGATAATAATGGCCAAGGAATTCTTGTTATGCTAGGGAGGCAGTGTATAATTAACCATATGCATATGCTTCTGTGGGACAGAGATATAAGGTACTGTATACAATCGCTATAAGATATTATTCAGGTACTTATAACAAAATATATATTTAAAGTGTTTGAGCTATCATAAAAATAATATTGGCAGATCACTAGATATTGTACTGTGTGAATTAATTTTTTTAAATGTATTAAAAACATTAACATTATAAAAGTTTATTGACAAAAATTGGCATGAATGCGTATGCAAAAGGAGTATTAAATGCTTGCTTAAACTTCTTATCCCAATTTTCAGGTCCTATTCATATTACATTGAAGTTTCAGTTGATCAGAAAGATTGGGTGAAAGTTATTGATCACACTCGTTACTTGTGTCGATCATGGCAACAGTTGTATTTCAAGCCCCGTGTAGTTAGGTATTTGTAATTTTTGTATGTTTTACTTATCATTTATTGTAGTATCATTTATTGAAAACAGAGAGCATTTACATCCTGTAGAAAATGAAATTTCATTGAAGCACTTTCGTCTTGATAATCCATGCCGAAAGTTATTAAAAATAATCGCACAAAAATGTTCACAAGTCAATTCTATATTTTTCCCAAAGTGAATTTTTCAGTTTACTGTAAACAATACAAATCACACTAAAATGCAAAATGTTCTGAAGAAATAACTTCTGAAGAAGTTATGGTTAAAAATATGAAATGTTTGATTGGAATCATCTATGGTCACTTAGCAACACTTACTGTTGCCAAAGCAAAAAATATAAATAGAAACCTTCGTATATGTAGGCTATTTGTGAACAGGATAAATTTTATGTTCCTTCTTGAAGAGGCAGATTTAAATTTTAGGCGTGAATTAGCTAATTAAAGATCTGAAAGTAAATATTAAATTATATAGAAATACATTGATGTTTTATTTTCCTATCTACACAATTTGTAACTGTTATATGAAAGACATTTAAAAAAAATGTGATTTCATAGTTTAAAAATTTGATTTTTTGATAGAAAGCTTGGCACCTTATATTTATCTGAGATATGGAAGTATAATTTAGATTTTAGCATAGAATCCTTAAAAGAGAAGGCAATGGAAATAATTTTTAACAATTTCCACCTCCCTTATACCACATACAGGGAAGGGGGGGAAAAAAGACCCCTTGTCAGAAACATAAATTTATTTAATTGCCTTTCCTTCCAAAAACTTGGTGACTTATCAATAGCTTTCAATGTTTAACGATCATGAAATGAAACAATTACTGCCATTGCATCACCCACACATGATGATGTCATATGAGATTATTGAAGTGAAAAATTCATTATTCATTTCTTAAAAACAGTGAGCATATTAGTTTTCAATATTAACTATCTTCTTTAATGGTGATGCTTTAAAATCTTTTTCAATTATTATAGTATTTTCAGATTTATCGACAAATTTTAATGCATATTCCTTTAATGTTTTAAATATAAGTTTATATAATTTCATGCCAAACTAATTATGTTCTTCTCTTATAGGTACATTAGAATTGTTGGCACTCATAATACAGTAAATAGGGTTTTCCATCTTGTATCATTTGAATGTATGTACACAAACAGCCCGTTTAGGTTGGAGAAAGATTTACTTTGTGAGTTTGAAACATTTTTTCATTTTTCTAGAGCTCAAATATTTTAATCATCTGCATTGAAAAGCATTTATATTTTTCCGTGAGCTTCTGCCTTCACTTGATATATATTTCTTTATTCATTGAAATATTTTGCTATCTAATTTCCTCTGATGTCTTATTTGAATTTAATTGGAAGAAAGTAGTAAAGTATATATCATAATATTCTAGTGCTTTGTTTTAAATTATTCAAATAAATAATTTGTTTATATTTTCAATGTATATATAGTTAAGGAAATATTTTAATTTTATAACATTATATGTATATATTTTTAGTTTTTCTGTAGTTTTAATAAATATATTTATAAAACTTTTATAGCATATATCTTTTATTAATTTCAATTATAAATTTCTAAAATCCAAAAAGATATTATTGAATTTTTCTTCCTTGTCAGAAATAAAAGCTGTGTTACAAACTTCTTTTAATAAAAATCAAAAAAGTGTTTTTATGAATATATTTCTCTAATTTAAAAATTTAAACTGCCTGTATAGATTTACAGGATTTGGGTAATGAAACTAAAGTACTAGATAAATATAGTATTTTAAATTTCAAGACAGCATGTGCATTCAATTGAGAATTTTAAATGATTGTGAATTTTTCAACAAGAGGGTGAGGCTGGAGTATTGACTTCAACCATTGAGAATTATAGAATATAAATTGAATATATATCAGAATTCTAGCAAAGATAAATTGTTAGTTTTGTCAGGCTGATATGCACATTGCTAAGACAGCAGATATTTTTGATGTGTTCAAAGCTCATTATCAAAGATCATGTCTGTTTAGCATTATAGAAAAGCAATAAAATGTTGTCTGAAAGGGACATTAGAATGTATGATAACCTGTGCTTATGATAAATACTTGTTTCATCTCTGTCAGAAGATCAATCTTAGAGAGCATATGATGCAAAATTGTTTTGTTCATCAATGAGTCCATTTCAATATCCTTTCTCTCTTTTGGAAGAATTTATCCATAGAGAACTTCTTCAGAAAGGTATGATCCAAGTTTTTTTCTGACCAGAGGTGTAGTTGGAGGTAGGCAGATAATAATTTATTATAGTATTTTTATAACAATGGAATTATCATTGAAATTTCTGAGAATGCTGATTTTTTCTTATAATCACTTCTCTATCAAGGACTATCTGTATCGGTGTATTCATAACTGTGAAATTTTCCGGTTTTTCATTTTTATCCCAATTTCCCTGTAGATTGCTGGATCTCCTAGTTTTTAACTTTTACTTAGGAGAGTTTTTCAGCAGTAAATTAAATTTATTGAGTGAATGAAAATTGTGCAAATTCCATTCCTCTACCCCTAATTGTATTTAATTTTTATTGTTAAATTTTATTTAATCTGATTTTGATTTGTCTTAATCTACTGTAGACATTTGTTCAACTTTTTATGAAGATTCAATCCTGTTAATCAGTTAATATTTATATTTGAATGTGTTTTACACTAATATATGATATATTCCTAATTATATCTACACAGTAGTGGTATATACATTAATTTTATTTTTGATAATTAAAAGTTTTCTCTTTTGGTGTGAATTTTTCAATATAAAAGTGTTAGAAAATTACAAAATGAAATTAGCCAAAGAACAAAAAATTCAGAGTATATAATTACATTAATATATTGCACATAGAATCATATTGTAAATAATTCACAACTTAATTCATGCATTACAAAGTGAAGTCATGTCAATTTGAAGTACTTTTGAAATGGCAAAAACCTTCTAGAAATTCCTGGTTTTTGCACATGAATTTCTTGTTTTTCTTATTTGATTAGCAGCTATGATGTATTCTAGAGGATCAAATCCACCCTGCCTTTCAGTCATTTTGTAAGCCAAGGGAAGTGACATGTATCAGGAGGGTAAAGCACAAATTTGTTGCATGCTGGTTTAAAAGACATGAAAATGAGTTGGGGCAACTTTCATGTTTTACGCAATCTTCTGATCTCAGCACCATTGGATTAATTTACCATTTTTATAGTAAAAGGCAGAGTTCAAAAACATTTTCATTCTTTACCATCTTAAAAAGAAATAGCCATTGTTTTGAAAGATTAATAGCTAAAAATACCTGTAATGGTTGAACAAGACTTGCATCAGTCATTTCCAAGAACCAAGCTTAGTTATTGCAATTTTGAAAAAATAAATAAATAAATTCCCACACTATAATATAGTAGTACATTCCAGATGCTGGTGTTTCAGTTTTATTGTTGATCGCTTGAAATAATCCATTATAATCTTAAAATCAAGGGAAAGCAGATATAAATGTACTTTTCTTGTACGATATTTTTAATTTGATTTTTAACAATGAGATTTAAGTAATTTACTATAATTCAGAAGACAAGGAGTAAACTTGAAATATTTATTGTTTAATCAATGCTAAAACAGTAGTAGTCGTTTAAAAATTTGATAAAATTATCATTGTTGTTTTATTATAAAGTAATTTAACAGATGTGATGTTAAAATTTTTTGGAAGGAAAAAAATAAGTAGATAGTTTTCCAATTAATTATTCTCTGCCTTAGATCCTCTTCATAATGTGGCTACAGTGTCTGCAAGTGCATGGGTTACAGAAGGTGTCAGTCGTAGTAGAAATGCTTTAATAAATGGAGATACTGAGAATTATGACTGGGACTCTGGTTATACTTGTCATCAGCTAGGCAGTGGGGCTATAGTTGTTCAGCTTGCCCAGCCTTTCATACTAGATTCTATGAGGTATGTATTAATGATGCCACAAATTGTTATTTGGCCAAAAAATTGTGGGTAATTATCTTTTATTTAAAAATTTTGACTACAACCAAAGAAAAAAGTAGTTTTAAAAATCATAATAGTTATTTGAGTAGGTATATGTTTAAAAAAATTAGGCCTGTTTTAAATTAAGATGCTGTTTCATAAAAAAACAATGGTATGTAGCCTATTGTAAAATATCATACAGCTAAAACTCTTAGAAACCTGTTCTTTCCCTTCTTCTCGTGAAAGTTTTTTTTTTTTTTTTTTTTTTTTAAATCGTGACTTAATGCGATAACATTTCTTATTAAAAAATATGTTTTTAAATCAAAATTTAAAACTAATATTGTTGCATGTCTAAAATATTTCATAACTTAAATCATTTAGTGTGTATGTGTAACTATTATCTTAAAGCTAAAAAGAAGGAAGAGTTTGCTAAAAAATAAATTAATGTCTAGTTTCTTACCAAAAACAGGTGGGCTCAAATTTATACCTTTGATTTTCGAAGTATCAAGGGCATAACATTGAATGATAAATATTGTCATTTTAGTACATCTTGTGTGAGGTATATATCTCTGTGCATTATGAAAGGCAAGACATTTAAAATCTGTAAATATGTTCTGCTGACTTTAACCTCCAATATAATAATGACCAAACAGGAACGCTATATAATTTCACATTGTCACTCTTCTCTATCTTTTTTCCCTGAAAGACCTATTCTGTTATAAAAGTTTGTGCTAAGATACATTAGGAGTTTTTGCTGACGTACATTGTAACTAAATTTGTTTAAAATGCAATGAGCAGCATAATTTAGGGAAGGGAAAATTTTTAGAGTTTAGAGAAGCACCGAGCGACAAAATTAAGGGATAATGAAACTTTAGAAGTTAAAGAGCCTACTAGAATGCTAAATTTATGGGTGGCAAGGTTTTTGAATTTTGGTAGGAGAATTTTGAACCCGCACAGAGTGCACTGGGTTGCAAAATGTCTAGCACCGGTTTTGTGTGGTGACTGGCATCAGATTGACTTTATATAATGATTAGTACATTTGTGAAGCTGCATAAATACGTACTGCATTTTTGAAGTCAAAACATATTTATTACAATTACGAGAAGCTCTACATACACTCACTTCTAAAAGTTAAGCACAAAGATATAAAATGCAGAAAAATCAACAAATACTGCTTTGATTGACACAAAATTTGGCAGGAAAGTAGCATGTATATTTATGGATAAAACAAAATCAATAATTATATACTGAAATGAAAACAATATTAAATTTTTGTAAGTTATCAGATAATGACATACTGAAGACTTCGCTCTCCAGGTAGTCATCGACGATGCCAGCTCTATGGGGACGTGCGTTATCATCCATTAAAACAAAAGTAGGGCTAACTGCTGCAGCGTACAATCTCATAATGGGTTCTAGGACTTCATCTCGATACCGGACAGCCGTCAAAGAACCCCATTTAGAGATGGGCAGGTTGGTGTGGTTTCCTATTGAAATCCCTGCCCACACCATGATGCTTCCGCCTCGGAATGTGTGATGTTCAGTGATGTTTTGGGACTGACTGCATGTTCGTTGTTCACGCCATATCCTTATATGCTTGCCATCTGGCTCCAGAGCAAATCTTGACTCGTGAGTAAACATGACATTGCCCCAGTCAGACACATTCCAGTTGGCATGTTCACAGCACCACTGTAATCGTGCCCCTCTTGATTGTACAAATAGAGGAACACAAACTTGAGGTTCCCCGGGCATACAGTCCACTCATATGTAATCTTTGGTGTACGGTAGCTGCAGATATCGCCTTACCAATGGACGCTGTAACCATAGATGTCACACATGTAGAGGTCGCTCTGCGATTCCACTTGGCTACAATAGCAATATATCAAATCTTCCTCAGGGGTTGTAAATCTTGGGCAACTGGCTATGGACCTTCGGACAACTGTCTATGTGGTTTGGAATTGTTTCCATAAACGTGAAATTACAGAATGATGATTGCCAAAGAAAAGAGCAACATCTGTGATCGACTGTCCTGCTTCAATGTGCCCCACAGCACGTCAGCGCTCAGAATCTTCCATTTGTCTTCTGGATGTCATAGAAACACATATGTCTTGAAAACAAATTGTATGAAAATTTTAAACACCTTCTATTAGCACTTACAATCAACTTCTGTAACCCTTCATAAAGCTGGCTTCTTATAAGACTGTTTTTTTGCATATTTCGTGACATGAAAGCATGACTGGCTGTTACCTAACATATTTGCATATTTCCATCTACCTCTGCAGCTAATTGCATGCTCTTCAATTCTGATTGGTTTCCGGAAATTAGCATTTTCCTCTCCGTGCTTAACTTTTGGAAGTGAGTGTATATACACTGCTGGCTGCCCAAATTGCAATACCAAGAAAGACAAGAGATATCACAACAAAATTTCTTTAGTAGATAACATGTTGACCAAGTATCAAATTAATGCCATTTTTGGAAATCACGACTGCCACACGCCTTGGCATTGATTCAAAGAGACTTTGGATGTGTTCTTGGGGTACAGCAGACCAAGCAGCTTAGACATGTTGCCAAAGTTGATCTGGTGTGGCAACTTGGGATGTAATCCAAGTCAATCGTTCAGCAACCATGGATTACATGTTTTCTATCGGTGAAAGATCCGGACAGCGAGCCAGCCAGGAAAGCAATTCAATCTGCCGATTGACGAAGAACCCTTGGACAATGCGTGCCACATGTGGTTGCGCATTATCCTGTTGAAATATGGCTGTGGGCAAGCCCTGAGGGTAAGGAAGGATAACTGGCTCCAACAACTCGGAGATGTAGCGCTGGCTGTTTAAAGTACCGGCAATGCGTACTAGAGGAGTGTGAGAGTGATATCCAATACCACCCCATACCGTAATACCCGTTTCAGGACCAGTGTGGCGGTGCATAACGCAGCTGTTCAGCATCCTCTCTCCATGGCGTCTCCAGACTCGAATCTGACCATCATGGTGTTGCAGACATCAACGTGACTCATGAGTAAAGACAATTTCATTCCATTCTGCCGTCCACATCCTTCTTTCATCACACTATTGGTGGCGGAGACATCTGTGGTTCTGCATCAAGGGTAGACAAAGCAATGGATGTCTTTCGGACAGACCACTCTGTTGTAAACGGCGTTGAATGGTACGCACAGAAACTGGCTGATGCGTTACAGACTGAATGTGCTGTGCTATGGTTCGTGATATGACTGAGCGATTCGTCACTGCCATGCGTGCATTGTTCCTGTCATCACGTAAAGTGGTGCACTGAGGTGGATGCGATCGAACACGTCGGTCCGTCGTACCCTTCTGCATCCGATGGTCACATATCCGCATTACAGTTGTTTGGTTTCATCCAACACAACTACCGATTTTCCTGAAAGATAATCCACTATCCTTCTTCTGTCGAACTCGGATATTTGATCAAATGATGATCGCTGTTTACGATGAGGCATATTTGTTCTTTTTTTTTTTTTTTTTTTTTTTTGAAAAAAACACAAGAAAAACACAATTGCCGAACTTGAAATCATCAAAAACTCTAAGCCTTAAATAGCGCTTTGAAGTGGCACCACAGGCGCGCGTGATGTGCATCTGTGCTGAAATTCTAATCATTTGCATATCTTACCTCCGCTAATGCATGTTGTAAATTTCATGTTATTTGCATGCTTCCTTCAGGATGTTGCATTTACGGTGGCCAGCAGTGTATAATGCATGGAACAGTTATTGTAGTAAAGTATAGTCCTCGTGAGGTAAGGATCCTGTTAACGAGGGTCTCTCTAGTTGAGAGTTCAAGAGCATTCTGGCGTATTCCAATGGAAACAAGCTACACACTGAGTTAGCCACACCTCCTTAATTTTTCAGTAGTATTTTACATCCTTTGATTCATTATATCTGGAACGATATCAGAGGGAAAACAAGGTCATTAGTTCGTCAGCCCTCCTGAAATCAAGAGGCTTTGATGGCAGACACAGTGCAGAACACTAAAATCTCTTGGCACTGGACCTGAAGTTACGTCTTTTGTACTGTCATTTGGAATGAATTATTGCGTCTGCGGTGTCAGACCATGTCATGTGACACATCGCAAAAGCTTGAGAACTGTGACTTGCGGGGACTGCATATGCAATTTTCTCATCTCTGTGTGGTCTGCCACACTTAGATAAGCTGTAAGTGTTTATAGAAATTTATTTATTCAGGACTCTGATAAGCTTTATGCATGTGTGGGCAATAGGCATAAGTATAATAAATATCGGGTCAGTCCATAAGTCGTGCACATTAAGAGTATGCGTGAAATTCACTATGACACATTTACTAAAACAATACAATTTTGAACCTGTTGAAACTTGTTATCGTTTGACTAACGTGTTATTCAGTTCATCACCAAATTTTGTAAATATCGAACGCATTTTAGTACCCATAGAAGATGAATATAGATAACCAGTACAAACATGCTGTGCTGCATTTTTTATTTTCGTGTGGTGAATATGCCAGGTTTGCAGCAATAAAAATTAATAGTGTACAAGGTAAACACACTATTAGTGTAAGGACTGCCCAGAAATGGTTTAAAAAATTTTAAGTAGGAAAAGCAGCATTGATGAACCCCATTCAGGATGTTTTGAACTGTTAGAACCAAATCAAGCGATTAATTCAGAAGTTTTTAGTAAACAACTTTGCCGTCTAAACTTAGAATTGATCAAAAAATGCACACGATTGGTGAATATCAAGAAAGTGTTGTTTCATCATGATAACGCTAGACCGCATATGGCCCGAACAAACCTGCAAAACAATTAGTGAATTTAATTGGGAGCTTTTGCCACATCTTGCTTACTCCCCAGATGTTGCCCCAAATGATTTTCACTTATTTCGTGCTTTAAAATTTTTTTTACTGGGAAAAAAATTAAATTCTAAACAGGATGCGTACAATGAACTTTCAAGTTTTTTTTTTTTCTTTTTTTCCCCATCAAAACCTTAGTTTTTCTACAGCATTGGCACAAAAAAGCTGCCTGTAAGATGGCGAGACATTGTAGATAATGGAGGAAAATATATAATTGATTAAAATGTTGAATTGTGCTTTTTTATATTATTTAAGAATTTACCAAAAAATGCGCACAAATTTATGGACTGACCCAATAATTAAACTAACATAATTCAGAAATAACTTGTCTGCCTGCCTGTCGCAGCAAGACAAAATCTAGCAGAACATGTCTTCAGTTGCCAGTCTCATGATGCATCACTAATAGTGTATAGCAGATTCTAGTTAAGCTTAATGATGATACCTGCAAATTTGAAGGTTTTCAGATATTGCAAACAAAAAGTGAAAATTTGCAATTAATGGAATCTGAGAAACAGAAGTCTACCACTGTGGTGGCAATGCCCCAATCATCAGTCAACTATTAGAAAGCAAAATCTGTAGTATGCTTGTAAATCTAGAAAATATCACTATTGATAGTAAAGAAAATGACAGAGGTTCTTGAGAACAAAAAAATTTCAGTTGCCAATTTAATGGAAATGCTTGACACAGCAATTACAGGACTTTAGCAATGGATCTTTGTAACTAAATGAAAAATTATTTCTTTCTGTCGAATTAATGAGAAAGTATTGGCACAAAATATGAATGACATCGAAAGAAATATTTAACAAATAAGTACTGAGGCCGTTTATTTATTTTTAATTTTTGAGTCCTAGTTTATAAATGCTTCATTATTTCATAAAAAAATTATTTCATATTTTTAATTTTATAATTTGTACAAGTCATCTATACTAGATTTAAACTGAGTATTTAGTATCTGAAAAAAAAAAAAAAAAAAAAAAGTCTCAAATCTGGAATTGCCAAAGTCCCAGGGACTTTTACAGTATATAAAAAGCTATTGCAGCTTTGACATATGGCTATATATCTAGCAGTATTTCATGCATAATTGTTTTGATTTGACATAAACCAAACAACTAACCAACTGAAAAACAAAAACTCAAATGCATTCCCCACCCCCACATGAGCAGAAAGATTCATCTTAGATTTCTTTTTGACCAGTTGCTCAGCTTTGAATAATGTAACGCAGTAATTTATTGTTACAGAATTAATGCTTTATAATTAATTTAAATTTAAAAATAGTTTTGAAATTTTAAAAATTCAGTCGATTGCTATTCTTTCATGCCTTTTTATCTCCTCTTTAGAATGCTGTTATGGGACTGTGATGATCGGAGTTACAGTTACTATATCGAAGTATCTACAGATCAACAGCACTGGCATATGGTAACTGATAAAAGAAATGAAGCTTGCCGGTTAGTAGTTAATTTTACTGTTATAATGCCACATAAAAAGCATAAGCAATTCCGATTTCTGTCTCAAATATGCTGTATGACTGAGAAAATTACTTGCGTGAAATCTTGGCTGTGTTCTGTGATGAAGAGAAATGAGTGGTGTTGCAATAATGGAAGGAATTATATTATTGATTAGATAGTTGATAATAATAAAAGTAATACTGATGCATTAGTGCAACCACCTTTGAACTATTTAGCGAATTTTACAGGGGGGAATAATAATAACATATTTATTACATGCATATGTATTTTTTTTTAAATTTAATAAACCTACTTACAAAAGGGTTTTTGTTTCTTTTGTTCTGGTGGAAATTTCTTGGCAATCACTTGAATCATGAGAAGAGATTCAAAGCATTGTTCCTTTAGTGATTTTGCTGCAAAGTACTGCATTCCTGCAGAATTGACTACTGTTTCTTTTATTATAGGCAAATCTCATAATTACAAATTTTAAAATTTAATTTAAGATAAAAAGTAATCTAAATTTTTCTATAAAAGCCGTTGAATTTGGTATGCAACAAAAAGAATGCATACGAAAATGGCAAAGCTGATTGTTAGAATGGAAGAATTGCTATGTGTGTGTTTGCCAGATTTGAGGCATTCTGAAACTTTGTCTACTGAAATGGCTGCAATAATACATAAGTATAAAAAAAATTTCCTGTTTTATGCCAATTCTTTTAATATTAAAATTCTTTTCTACTATTCCAGATTTATACTTCTTTCATTATAAATTTATGCTATTTAAAAAGACCTGTTTATTAAAATTTTGAATTATATTTTGTCATTGAATTATCTTTGAATAAGTAAATAAATAAATAAAGTAATAAAATGCGTAAGAATTAATTTAATGATTAATTAGCTCATTTCTTGATATATTTACTCTCACTCTGAAATTTTTAAACTGTATTATCATGATAAATTTTTTGGAATGGTCATAGTAAAGTTAAAAGGTTTTAATTTTAACTCTTTGTGATAATTTTTATTTTAGTGGTTGGCAAACCATCATATTTCCACCCAGACCTGTCGTTTTCATACGCATTGTAGGAACTCATAATACTGCAAATGAGGTAAACTCTTTTTTTTTTTTTTTTTTTTTTTTTTTTTTTTTAAATTTTGTGATGAAAATTGTTTCTAAATGTATGTAATTTATTTAAGTGTGAGTTGCATGGATTATGATGTGCGTTATTTAGCAATCATGTAAATAAATTCATTAGAAGTGAATTGATACTCTGAAGAGCAGTTGAATACCTGTCTAGTAGAATGTAGCACCACCTTCCGTCTTGATGGCACCTGTGATTCATCTTGACATGGAGCTGACAAGACAGCGCAACCTCCCACAATTCACAAAGATTAGGTGCAATGTTGGTGGTGGTTGAAGTCTTTAACAAATCTTCTCAGTTGCATCTCGGGTCTGCTTAATCGGATTCAGGTCAAGTTACCTTGATGGCCAGGAAAGTATCTGCTGGTCTGAGGAAGGCTCATCCAACCTTTCTGATACAATTCAAGAGCAATGGCTTTGGTGCATTTTCTTGTTAAAAGAATATCTCTGTAGTGGGCTGTTCAAAATGAATGTATGAGACCAGATGGTCATCAAGGATATCCCAGTAATGTTCACTTGTGAGAGATGTCCCATGTACAAGGAGTCACATTTCAGTCCATGTGAACACTCCTCAGACAAGAATGTCTCCTCCACCAGCTTGAAGAGTCCTCTGCTAGCAGGAAGGATGCTGGATGTATTGGGTTTGGCAACTAAGTAATTGCAGATTTTTTTTAGAAAATCAAAGACAATTTTTTCATGGAACTAAATAACTTTATTCTGTAATGTATTGCCCATTTTGATCAAAGACCTTTTGCCATCTTTCAGGCAGCATTATAATCCCACGTTCATAAAACTTCTGGTTTTTATTAGCCAAAGACTGAATCAGGTACGATTTGACATCATCATCATTATTGAAATTTTTACCATTCAAGGAGTGTTAAACATAGAAAATGCCGTGGTTCGCAAAGCAAATATTTATTACTGAGATATGCAGAGATACACGCAGTTACATGCAAGCAGAAATAAGTAAGTACAAGCACTAGCAGAAATAAGTAAGTACAAGCAGAATAATACTAAGCAGTGATAAGCGGTTACAGAGGTCATATATATAACTTTATAACAGATCATGGTTTAACAAATCATAAACAAGACACAATAAATAACCAATCAAAAGAAACATACAGAATGGGATTAAGTTTCAGAATAACTCTCGCACCTGGCAGAAAACTAATGAATGTATCGGACTTGACAGAAAGCTATACTTCCTTTTAATCAGTAAGAATGTGATTACAAATATCTCAACACTCCCCCTTAATCGCACATTATACAAAACATAAAAGAATTACACAATTTTTAAACAGCTCAATGATAACAGTTCATAGAATTTTGTTTTGGACAAAGCCTTAGTTAACATATCTGCAATTTGTAAACCTAACTGTACATATTCAATTCTAATATTATTTTCCTTAACAGTCTTACAAGTGAACTTTAATTTTATATCTATATGTTTCAACCTACCTGAAAAGTTTTCATTAACAATACTTTTAATACATGACTGGTTATCCTAAAAAATATAAACATTTTTAACACTGGAAATTTCATTTACTACATTTTTTATCCATAAAACATCTTGAATACCTTTACATAAAGCAATTATTTCAGCTTCTGTTGATGAAAGTGCAATACACTTTTGCTTTGTTACAGCACCACATAATAGGACAGTTTGAAAACATTATAAAGTAATCAGTAATTGATTTCCTATCTTGAGTATCTCCCCCCCCCCAATCTGCATCTACATACAAACACAAGTTTGCCCTTTGCAAATCACCCTTTTTGTATATCAATTTTAAATTTAAGGTGTTTTTCAAGTACCTAAGAATTCTTTTTAGAGCACACCAGGCAACATCAATAGGATGCTCTTGCAGTTGGCTTAAGCAATTTACTGCAAAAATAATATCTGGCCTTGTGATATATGCTAAGTAAAGCAAAGATCCAATTAATTCTTTGTATGGGCCTTTCTGAAAATCAGCTGCTGTAGATTTTGGTTCAATGGGAGTTTGGGCTGTTTTACAATCAGACATTTTAAATTTATCAAGTAATTTTTCAATATATGGTTTCTGATCTAAATACAAACAACCAGGCTCAAATTTCAGTCTAATACCCAAAAATTCTGAAACACTTTCAGATTTTGACATTTTAAATTCATTTGATAATGATATTATAATATTTGTTTCTTTTACATCTGAACCTGCAATTAATAAGTCATCTACATAAAGAGCCATAATTACTTTCTTACAATTTAAATTTCTGATAAAAATACATGGTTCAGAGTCCAATTGCTTAAAATCTAATTTAATAACAAAATTAAGAAAATTCTGATACCATTGTCGAGGAGACTGTTTAAGACCACATAAACTCTTTTTAAGTTTACATTTCTTACCACTCATATCATCATATCCTTTTGGCTGGTCCATGTAGATGGTTTCATCTAACTTACCGTTCAAGAAAGCTGTCTTGACATCTAAAGTAAAAGTTTGCAAACCTTCATTATTGATAATTACCAAGATTAAACGTAAAGAGCACATACTAATCACTGGAGAAAATGTTTCTCTATAATCTATGCCTTCCTTTTGCATAAAGCCACGAGCAAGAAGCCTCGCTTTGTAAGTTCCATCTCGTTTTTTTCGTAGTGCCCATTTGCAGGAAATAGCTCTTTTATCAGGGGGTAAACTTTGTAGATCCCAGACGTCGTTATCTTCCATAGATTTCATTTCCTCGTCCATAGCTCTTTTCCATAGTTCTTGTTCTACTTGTGGCAGATTTACAATATCTTCAAATGTCAGAGTGTCTTGTGCAAACATTACTTGGTAAATCTCAGAATCAAGATACCTAACTGGCTGTTTCTTTTCTCTTGAAGATTTTCTTTGTTCCTCCTTCATTATTTGCAGCATTTAATTCCGTTATCAGTGTCTGAAATTGATTTGTCTTCATTTTTAATGTCATCATTGTCATTTTCACTCAAATCAGAACTATCGGAATATATTTTTGATTTTCTACTTTCTTCTTTTCTTCATTAAATTTAACATTTCTGGAAACAATGATGCGTCTTGTTTCTGGAAATCATTAAACGAATATGCCCATTGTGGAATAACCTACAAATATCATTCTGACAGATTTTCATCTAGTTTCTTTCTTTGCGATGGTGGCACTAGAGTATAAGCATCACAGCCAAATACACGCATGTTTGTTAAATCAGGATTTTCACCATACTTCAGAAAATAAGGAACACGATTGTCAATTGAACTATTTGGGAGTCGATTATTTATGTAAGCAGCCGTAAGTACTGCTTCACCCCCAAAGGAATTTTGGTAATTTTGCCTCAAGTATCATTGCTCTAGCTTTTTCCAGTACAGTTCTATTTGCTCGTTCAGCAACACCATTTAGAAAAGGTGTATAGGGAGGTGCAGGATCTATTTTTACACCTGCTCTTTTAGCAACTTCATGCAATTCTCCACTGACATATTCTTTGGCATTGTCACAGCGCAGTTTTGTAACAGTTGGATTCAATTTAAAGAATAGCTTGAGTTCATCAGCAATGTCACTTTTTCTTTTGAGCAGTCTGATTTCCATAAATCTCGAATAGTCATCAATTATAGTCATGAAATACCTTTCCCCATGGAGTGTTTGAGGTTCTATTGGACCACATATATCAGTGTGTATAGTTATAAGCGGTTTGGATTCTTTTATGGGAGGACCCTTTCCTATAGGCAAAGCACTTTGTTTGGCACGAACACATACTTCACAAAAGGATTCTTTTGCAGGAAGATTCATCAGTTTTAATTTTTGATCACAGCAGTGTCCTAACCTTCTGTGCCATAAATCATCATTCTTTACTGCTAAAGCTGTAAATAGGTTTGGTGAAAAATCACTAAAATATTGTCCGCATTTGTCCAAATATCCAAATCTAAAACGCTTGTTTTTGTTTTCAATATAAACTATTTCATTTTTAAAAATTACGCTCAAACCTGCTGCTTCAATATTTTTAACAGAAATTAATTGTCCGTTTAATTTTGGAACGTAAAGAACATCTTTTAACATTATTTCAACACCATTCTTAGTTTTACCGCAAATATCACCAATTCCTTCCATTTCTAAAACCGCCTTAACGCGCACTTAACAGTTCCAGTCTTAGGCTTTATTGAGGTAAACCATTCCTTGTGAGAAGACATATGAGAAGTTGCACCAGAATCAATAATAAATTGATCATGCACAAGATTTCCAGCCATAAAAGATATTGCAGGGGATGCATACTTATTACTATTTGAATTTGCCTGCTTTTTAGAATTATCAAAACATTCATTTTTGAAATGACCAGTTTTCCCACAGTTATGACAGATGCAGTTCTTTTTCCTACAAAATTTAACAGAATGTCCTTTTCTTTTACAATAAATACAAAACAAGTCTTTACGAGCACTAATAAAAACAGAGTTATCTGTATTTGGTTTAGAATACTTATTTTCATTTTTATAATCAAACATAAGAGATTCACAATCAATAAGTCTACTTATGACAAAATCTAAACTCAAATTACTGCTTGGCTGATTCTCTAGAGATGCCTTAATATTTTCATATTCCTTTGGCAAAGACATTAAAATGTAAATAATAATATCAAAGTCACTTACTTCAGAGCCAGAGACGCGTAGACTACTCACCAGGTTCATTATGCTGTCAATATGCTGTCTCATTGACACATCCTTGGATTTCCTTATGGTAGCTAGACGCTTACGCGTTAAAATTTGACTCACTGCACCTTTAGCGCTATATGTAGCTTGTAGTTTCTTCCATATTTTACATGCAGTGTCTTCACGTTGAAGAGAAGCAATAACATTATCACTTAGAAGCGCAAGTATTAAGGCATAAGCCTTTTTTGATTTCAAAACATCTGCAACTCTGTCCGCAACTGCTTCTGTTTCCAAAAATGTATCCAATTCCCTTGCCGTAAATACTGCTCGAACTCTTCGACACCAA